GATCGATGGTGCGGATACTGTATTGAGATGCATGCACATTCCATAATACTTTAGCATATCTTCCTAATTAAGGATTTTGTTCCATGTATTTCTGAGTCGTGTATTGCTAAAACTGTAAACATAAGTGCGCTTGCAGGTCATCTTGGCTCTACACATGTTTTGAAATAGATAAGATAAAAATAAATTAGGTTCACTGGTGGCTAACAGTAGTTATAGTCTTAAAACATTGATTCTTACTGAATCCAAATTCAGTGACTAATAAAATCACAGGGCATGTACTTACACAATTGCTTCTTAGAGCAGAAAGCAAACAACAGCTTGTGGCAATGGGAAAAAAAGGTCACTTTGTGAACTTTTATTTTCTACTAAGGATTCAACTTTGTATTTAGTTGTTTTGCTGGAAATTCCTAAAGTTATTTTGCNTTTTTTTAACCTGTCAGTAATGTTATCACATTAATCATTAACTGGAAAAGAGGTATGAGTAATAATAGTTTGATAGTAAATGTCTGGTTCTAATTGCCTCTTCTGCTTTCGAAAACAAAGTGTGATTTAACCAGCTCGTTGCTCTTAAAACTGTCAGCTGATCCAAGGAGTTTCAGACTCTTGGCTGACCACATTTTTAACTCCTCACGGTGTCTCTAAAGAAGCCCCCATATTAAAATAATAAGGTTACTCAAATGTTAAGACTAGCTTTATCAATGTGAAATTAATCTCATACTATTAAAATAAACTTCTTTTGCAAAGTAAAAAATCTTATGTTTTGAAAAGATCTTTGTTTCAAATTATTTTTGGTCTCTCATTTTTCCATTTTCATTATTTTATCTTTTATTTGGGGCTTATTATTTTGGACATTTATTTTATCCATATATTTTATAACATTATAAAATGTTAAATGCTAAACTTACCATTCCCACAGCGATTCAATAGACAAGACCTCCATTCGGAGTTGAAATAAAATCAGATTGATTTTAATTCCATGGCTTCTTTATCAGCCTTTATTCAAACCTCAAGACTTTAAAGAACGTTTAATAGTGCCTCCGACTGTGGAGCATACCCCCAAAACTGCATTGGTGTGTCATCCTAGACTAAGATAATAATATATAATCATTGGTTAATGCTGTCCTTTGGTTATAATAGCTCCACTTCTAGCTATAAGAGAGTAAACATTTTAAAACAAACATTTGGGCAACTTTTTCTGAGGTTAAACTGCCACAAGACACCAAAATATTACTGTGTGCAGTGATTCTGATGATCAGCCTGAACTGCTGGATACCACATTGTTAAGACTGTCAGTTCTACAGCCACTTTAATTCAATTCATCAGAAACATTGAGCATTTTTGGAGGAAGAAGTTTCAAAGCATCACAGTATACTCAATACAGAGGCAAACATTAAGTAGATTTCAATGGCTGATTGCATCTCTTAGATGTGGGACTTCATGAGATTATGTGAATGCATTCCATTGATAATCTTAAGGAATAAAATTATGCAGTCACATTACTTTCAGAACCTTTTGACAACGTTTCACAATTAAAGTCTAATTAAACTAAAAAGCCATTGGAACTAGAGCAGAATATAAGACTATACATAAAAAACTGTTTAAAAATAGAAAACTCTGAGTAATCATGAGAGAATTGATGTCAAACTGCAGTGCCACAAAGATCAGTGGTTTGACCCTTATTGTTCTCAATCTACATGACTCCTCTAGATACCAAAATCGAGTGTAGACTGGTCAAATTTGCTGCGACACAAGAAGCAATAGAGACAGAGAATGCTGCGGACTAATTGATCTAAATCAAAAAGATTTAGATCAATTATGCATTTGAGTAGATGCATTGCAAATTAAATTTAACACTGAAAATGTAAGGTAGTATGTATAAGTAGAAAAAAATGTGGCACATAAGTATATAATAAATCGAATTAGCAAGGAGGTTTAAAAAGGAACCTGGAAGTAATAGCAGATTAGTCACTTTCAATGTTCAGAAAATGTGATGAAGCAATTATTAAAGCTAACAGAATGTTAGACAGAAGAGTAGAATGCAGCATAAGTCTTCCAAGTTATGCCAAGGCTTTACAATTTTCTGGATAGATAACACCTAGAGTGCTGTGCCCAGTATTGGTCATCAGACAAAAAACAAAAGTTTAGAAAAGAGCAACAAGACTGAAAAACATACACGTAACATCTTCAATAAATAAATAAAAGTTGTTACGGGGAAACATCATAAAACTATATCAAGTATTCAATGGTGTATATATATCAGGTAAACCAATACCACAGATAAAATATTATTCTTGCTGCTTAGTGCAGTAAAATGGATACATTATTTCCATTATAAGTGCATATTGTTAAGGCAACTGCACTTTGTGACACAATAAGTTAACAAAGTAGCGTTGGAGGAAATCAAAGGGAATTGCTGAAACTATACTTAAAAGAGATATGTAGGCAAAAGATTTACACAAGCAGTGCTAGATTGTTTAGGAAAATATTGAGGTTATTCAAAACATTACTAGAGCCATGAGGGGAGAAATGCCAGGATTATTATAATTTATGTACCAGAGGAATTACTTTTGGTGGGTTGAATAGAAATTTTACAAGCACACTTGCATTGGGAAATACCTTTATCAAAATGATTAATTGGTTGACAAGAAGTATTATAATTAACCTTAGTTAATTTCTAAATGCTTATTTTGTTTCACCAGTAAAATATACAGTCAATTCACTTTACAGGATATTCTGTGAGGCACTTTGAGATGTCTCGAAGACGTAATAAGGCGCTATATGAAATGCAAGGATTATTATGTTACTATTTGTGTTCATTGACCCATATAATGTTGTACTGTATTGTCTCATTCCTTAGATGATACATTAGCTTTGGTTAAAATCACAATCCATAATGTGATTCATGGCATTGCCAGAAAATTGATGTATTGCATTCAAGTAAATCTGTTTTTTTTCTTCTATTTTCCTACAGGAATAAAACATTTCCTTTGGACCAGCCTGCTTCCTTCACTTCTCTACATTTCTCCATTGAGATCTGCCTCAGTGCCCCTCACACACTATGTCATCTGACCAGATAACTGATTATTATTATTGTTATTAATGGAACCACATACAACAACAACTTGAATTGATACAGCACGCTTCATCCAGGGTAGCATCTCAGAGCACTTGACATGTAAATTACATATATGCAACAACAAATTACATTTATATAGCACCTTTCACATCGAGAAGATGTCCCTTCATGCCCCGGGACCTCCCTATCTCACCTACTTGCTTAATTCCCAACACACAACCCCCTGCCTCCGTTTAACTGGCGCCAGCCTCCTGCATGTCCCACATGCCCTCCGTTCCACCATCGTTGGCCGCGCTTTCATCCACTATGCCCCAAAACTCTGGAATGGTCTTCCTCTATTCCTCCGCCTGCCCTTTCCTTTCCTATCTTCAGATCAGTCTGAAGACCTTCCTCTTCAACCATGCCTATGGTCACCTCCCCCAGCTCGGAGGCCTGCTTCGCCACTGTCAAGCTCTCTGGGACACTACTCTGTGTGTGGGGTTCTATATAAATGCAAGTTGTTGCCCCAAAATGCTGGGATGAGGTATATAACAACAACTTGCATTTATATAGCGCCCTGCGTGTGGGGTAGCGTCCAGGAGCACTTCACATTGGCAGAGTCTGATAACGAACCAGTGGGAGAGGGCTCGTGAGATGACCGTAAGCATGATCAAAAAGGAAAGTCTTTAGACGAGATTTGAAGGTGGAGAGGGTGAGGCAGAAGAATTAACGGAGAGAATTCCAGAGATTCAGGGCGTAGTAGCTGAAGGTACCGCCACCGATGGTGAAATGGATGGGACATGGGATAAACAGGAGGTCGGAGCCAGCGGGTGGTGGAGTGCGGTGGTGGAGTGGGGGGTGGGGGTTGGGGGATGACTGGTGGTAAGCAGGTTGGATAGAATAGGGAGGTGCGAGGGCACGAGGGCACGAAGGGATTTGAAAACGAGCGAGAGGAGGATGCGGAAATCGATCGGTTTGGTGATCGGGAGCCAACGGAGTCTGGCAAGGGTTTGCCGTGAATGGCGGGGGGAGAGGGGTGGGAAAGGGCAAGTCAATGGGACTGAAAGGGTCGCTCTTTAAGCTTCCGTGTGCGTGCGTGCGTGTGCGTATGCGTGTGCGTGTTTAAATTGCGTGGACGGGAGACCGAAGGTGTGACGTGAATTGTCTATTGCGCACGTGGCTCCCTTCCCTACCCCTCCCTCCTTCCCTCACACACACTCACACACACACCACCTGGTTGGTTGGTTGGTTGATTGATTGATTGATTGATTGGGTGAGTTGAGTTGAGTTGAGTTGAGTGAGTGAGTGGGTGGGTGGGGTGTCGCTTTAAGAGCCGGAAGGGGCTGCGCGCGCCGCTCAAAGCGATGTCCAGCCGATGACGTCTGGCGATGTGCGCCATTTTGAAAAGCCGCGGACGGCGCCGCCACCTCTGAGTCTCTCCACCACCATCACCACCACCACCAGCAGCAGCGGCCCAGCCCCGGCCCCCAGGCCCCTCGCACCGCAGCCCCGCCTGAGCCAAGGCCTCGCCGCTCCCTTCTCCCGGGAAAGCTCGCACCCTTAACTCATAACCTGGGAGGAGGAGGAGGAGAAGGAGGTGGTGGAGGAGAGAGAGAGAGAGAAAGATAGAGAAAAAATAACGCACACACACACACACATATATATATATATATACACACACACAGACAGAAAAAAAAAAGCGGAAAAAAAAGCCATGGCGGGTAAGAGAAAAGCCACCGGCCCGGGTTTGTCAGTCTGAGCCCGAGCCCGAGCCGGGGATCTGTTAAATGTCGCCTCGTCCCAGAATGAGGGAAGGGGGGAGGGAGGGGAGGAGGGGAGGAGTAATCCCCCTCCTCATTTATATATATATATATATATGTGTGTGTGTGTGTATGGACTCTCTCCCTCGCGCCTTTTCATTATTATTCTCTTATTTATTCTGCAGGGGTCGGAGGTGGCGGGAACGACTTGCAGTGGTGCTTCTCGCAGGTGAAAGGTGCCATCGATGAGGATGTGGCGGAAGGTGAGGCGCTTCTCTCTCTCCCTCCTCACCCCCTCCTCCTCACACACACCTCCTCCCTCACACACACACACACATCACCATCCGGCTGGGCTGTCAGAGGTCAGCTGCTTGTACCTATCTGCTGCTTGAGAGAAGGAAGGGGACGGGTTGGAGGAGGAGGAGGAGGAGGAAGAATTGCTTCCTGTACCTGAAATCATTTGGGGGGCATCGTTGGAACGTTACAGCACAGAAGGAGGCCATTCGGTCCATCCTGTCCGTGCCCGCTCTTGAAAGAGCTGTCCAAATCAATCCCACTCCCCCCGCGCTCTCCCCGTGGCCTTGCGAAAAATGTATCCTCCCCCAATATCTGTCCACTTCTCTCTTGAAAGTTGTTATTGAACCAAGGATAAGAAACTTTATTTTCCTTTCTTCCCTTCAACTTCATCTTCAAGGAGGCCTGTGTTCACTCTCTTAATCGATTGCACGAGAACATCAGAGTTTCTTTTCACTTTTAGCGTTTCACTATTTTTTTAAAGAAAACAGTATGAAAACAAAAGTTGTCATTCAATGGTAATGACTCGTAAAGCATCCCTCCGCTTCACCATCCACCAACCAGTAACTCCCTCCAGTGAGAGGGACCTGGTGAAGAAACCTAATGTGCTCTGCATTAGTTGCTCTTAGTGTTTACATTTGTGAGATTGCTGCAATAGATTTCTCGAAATGGCTTTTAAATGGAAGATATTTAAAGACACTGACATACTCGTGGTTGGGTATTGTTTCAGTGATTCCAATACTTTCGTCCAATTTAGGCGTTTTGATCCCAAATATTATGAAAGTGGAGTCCGTTCTATTAATAGGAACATAAAACTTGTTTTATAGATCCCAATACTTTAGTCCAATTTAGGCATTTTGATTCCAAATATTATGAGACCATTCTACTAATAACTGCACTGCATTGGGGTAATGTTTACATCTGGTATCAGAATTTCTTCAAGAAATCTGTGGGTGAACAATTGTATTTTGAAAATGTCAGGGGCTTTGTTTTAAGTTTAAAGTAGTATTACATTGCCCTGCACTCGACTGGTTGTCATGCATAAGTATGTCAGTCTGGCTCAGTTGGTAGCATTCTCGCAGCTGATCCCGAAGGTCATCATAAAAAAGCATAAATTATTATGGGTTCCAAGCCCCATGCGTTTTATGCTGACACTCCAATGCAGTGCTGGGGTGTGCTGCATTGTTGGAGGTGATGTCCTTTGAATGAGTCGTTAAAACTGTCTGCTTTTGGACGTTAAAGATCTGTTCGGAAGAAAACAACAGGTTCTCCACAAGTGTCCTGGCCAACAAAATTGGTCTGTTTGTGGGACTTTGCTGTGCACAAATTGGCTGGCTGACAAATATACAGTCACTCCATTTAACAGTAAATTCGGTGAAGTGTTTTAAGATGTCTTGAAACCATGATAAGGTCCGATATCAAATACAAGGATCATTATTAAAATGCAAGGATTATTATTATATTATTGGTAAAGTATGCTATCAATGTATACTAACATTTGGAATACAGAAATTTTTAATATCCCTTAGCTTCTGGATCACTGTTATTTTGGAACGTTATTTTGTTAATTTCATGCCTTAATGACATCAAAAATCTGTGCACGTTCTAGCATGGATCACTGGTTAGCAATCAGGTGGAACACTCATTGAATTCTCTCATTTGGATTTGCAAAGACCGATTGCGGGACTCGTATTTCCACGTGTCTGAGATCAGTGGACTCGACAGTTGTTGAACCTAGAATATTTCTGTTCATGTATTGCTCATTTTAACTCTGTGCAAAAGCTATACCTACCATCTTGACTACAAACGGAAATGATGTAATTATTTATGTCTATTTGACCTATATTTATACTTGCTACAAGAAAAAAAAAGCTGTACAATTTGCACTGGTGCTGCCTTCTGAGATCGCATTGAACAGGTGGTTTAAGTCAGAAATCTGATGTACTGCTCCAATGTAAATGCAGGTGGTGTGAAGCTATTTGGCCTCTACTCAAAAGTGGTACCATAAATGTTCTGGGGTAGTTTACCAAGACATTTGCTGAAGAGCTGATCTCAATCTTGCCCCTTTAATACTATTAAAAGCTACCCAGTGTTCAACATCAATTAATTGAGTTTTGCTCTTCACTCTTTGTCACACTCTCTTCAACAGCTCTCTTCAACAGCAGTTGGGAACAACAAATCAAAATCCCTTTTCATTCTTCTCCTGAAATGTTTGATTGCTTCTAGTAGCATGAATTAAGCTTTAAACTACCGTTTGATCTACTCTGGATTGCGCTAAAAATAATTGATTCACCGGTTTAAAAAAAATTAACATTTGTAACTTGGAAATTATCAAATTAGTGTAATGCAAGCAACTCCTGCAATTGTGTATTAAGAACTAAAAATAGCATTTGAAATTTTTTACAAGCCCCCAAATAAAATTGACCATTCACTTCAAGGCTGTTTGCAAATCATTGTTGTGCACTAATTGGCTGCCATGTTCACCTAAAAATACATTTTACAGCACATCCTGTAGAGTGCTTCAAGACATCATTCTGACCTTGCATTCCTGACGGGCACAACAATCAAATCCCAGGATTATTATTTTGAGAAAAAAGGATGATAAACAGTATATTTGATATCCTAAAAGAGATAATAGTTCATCAAGCATATTTTGTTCAATGGCATTAAGTGTTGAACAGACTCCTAGTCATTTGGAGATTGCCGCACTCTAGACTTTATCCTATATGAAAGGGGCTGTATAAATCGTTGTGTTGATGGAGTCCCAGATACCTTGCTGTCCTAACAACAAACAGATGGAATTTGTGGAGGTTCTTAATAAGGATTATTATAATTATACCAAGGTACTCTCCTGGAAACAATATACAATCAAAATATGCAATCGATTTACAAGTATTTGAATTCTTAAATATACAGTTAGAAAAAGGTTTCCTTTATGATCAATGGTAGTGGTAATATAGGTGTAATGTGTCAGTGAAATTCAAAGATGGAAAGCTTGTGGATTTTATGAACAGATATATACTGTATTGGAAAGAACATTTAGGAATGTTATGGGCTGTAAGTGTAATATAATTTTGTAGTTTATGAACTCTATAATGCCTCAATTTTGCTGAAACTTGGTAAGTGCACTGTCCAATCTTCATGTTTTTTTTAAAAAGAAAACTTTTTTAAAAGCTTTGGGTGGTCTCTCTTTATGCAATCTGCCATCGGGACAAGGATGAATTAAAGCAAAATAGATGTTTTGTTTCATAGAATTTAACTTCATTATACAATATATTGCATTCACATAGTTTAATTGAAAATTACTTATGGGAAGCCGAACATATTAGCATAACCCTACTGTGTGAAGTGCGAATCAGTGACAGAACTTTTGTGGTATTTTGATTTTTTTAAAAATTGTGACAAGGTTTGATATTAAAATGAAAGTCAAACTAAGGTGACCAGTTGTTTAGGACACAGTTGGATGTAGAATAAATAGCTGGTGTCAAATAACAATCTGTTCTACATAGTTGCACTGCTGTACAGGTTTTAGCTTTGAATTCCATACCTGAGATTCAGTTCTATAATGGTCATTTAAAAACAGTTTATGTCATTCACAAAATGTGATCAAATCCATGCACTACTAAATTATTTTTGAGTATTTAGTGTTCTGGTCACTTGCTGGAAATGTTGTGTTTCAATGGTAATCTTTGTTCTTTTAAAGTAGCCATCCAGATTAATGTTCCTATGCATAAAATATACTCTAGAGGACACAAAGTAATAATCCTAACTATTAAGTTGATGATCATTACATCTTCAAGCAGTTTACAAATCTGACCTGAATCCTAAACTAAAAGGGTAATATTGAAATCACTTCAGAGTATTTTGTAAAGTTTTACTTTTTAGTCCTGGCTTCCAACATCTGCCATGGTGGTGGATGTCAGCCCCTTATCTATGCTACCTAGTTGATAAGTAGTGACATTTGTACTAAAAGATTAAATGATTGTGGTGTGTTGGTTACCAGGACTTTGAACAAGAAATACCTTTTATTTATATAAAAAAAGGTAGAGGCACACTTTAACCTGCTCGCATTTTAATATTTCTGCATGTTAATATGGCTTTTACAGCCATGCAACAAGATCCTTGGGCTGTTTGAATATTAAGGAAAAATGCAGTTGAACCTATTATCTGTCTTTATATAGCAAAAGGTCGATTTTCAACTAACTAGAATTCTGATACAAAGGTTTGCTTCTGATTTTCTGTCCTCTCTTGAAGACACTGTTTCTTGCTGTGGTTTGATATATCGGGCACCTCCAGTACCTCACCCAAGTTTCAGGTTTGGACTTGCCAAGCCGGAACACTTGTCACAATCTGTGTACACTTGTGATTTCTCAGAATATGTTTATTGTTATTTTATATTCCCTAGTAGGATTATATCATGCCGGTGAGGAAAAAAAGAAAAACTGAATAGATGCTAGCTGGTAGATGCTATGTTCTGAAGCACTACTACTGATGAAGTATAAATAAGACTTTTGCAGATGAAGTAACGCAACAAAATAAGTAGCATTACAAAACTTAAGTATCCCTTCAGCTTCTTGATTGGCAACAACAAGGGACTGCAATAATATAACAGAACTTGAAGTTTCAAAATGTGGAGTACCAACATTAGTCCTAGAAAGATTTGAGTAACATTTTACATACCGGTGATGTACTACTAATATGCGTTTAAAAGGATCCAGAGTTACATTTGGCACAGTATTATGAGGCTCTTTTGTTTGTGATACTTTGAATTGATTAGGTTTTTTGAGTTTGAAATGAACATAATAATGCATTCCTGTTGAAATATCATTTATACTACAATACTATCTTAACATCAGGTAATTCAAATGACACTATTTTGTATGCACTGGGGGATTTAAGATTTTACAAGACATTGGAAGGCTTCAATGGCTCATCTTCCATTCTTACGGTGCAAGCAGAATATATGATT